AAAAGTTGCTGAGTACCTCAGCCTTCTCTGTGTCCCAGACAACCAGGTCTCCCATTTCCTTCTGGAGAGGACCCACATTTTCTCTAGTCTTCCGTTTATCACTGACATACCTATAGAAGCTTTTCTTGTTGCCCTTGACATCTCTGGCCAGCTTTAATCAGTGAAGACTTTGGGTGAACTGTCTCACTGCTCTGCAGACTGAAGAGGAAAGACTTGTTGCATGAAGAGAGACACTGGAGCTGAGTGAGACAGCCTAATTTGTCCCCTGTAGAGGAGCCAGTGCAACTCTAGAAAAGGCCTAGGCTGATAGTAGTAGGTTACTCTCTCCAGAGAGTTACAAAGGGACTCATTTGCCAACCTGACGCACTCTGTAGAGAGGTGTGCTGCTTACCAGGGACTGGTATCAGGGATGTCACTGAAAGACTACCAAGCTTCGTACAGCCCGCTGACTATTATCCGCTCCTGTTGTTTCACGTTGAGCACTGATGACACAGCCAGGAGCAGTCTGAGGAGTATCAAAGATTGCAGAGCCCTGGGAGCAGCAGTAGGGGAGTCTGGAACACAGGTAGCATTTTCATCAGTCCTCCCAGTCAAAGGGAAGGGATTGAAAGGGTCAGTCAAATCTGGCAAATCAACATATGGTTACGGCACTGGTGCCACAGCCAGGGGTTCAGCTACTTACACTGTGGGACTCGCCTTGAGAAACCTGGTCTGCTGAGGGCTGATGGGATCCACCTGTCAGAGAAGGGGAAGAGCATCTTCAGTCATAGGCTTGCCAAGCTGGTGAAGAAGACGGCTTTAAACTAAAACTACCAGGAGAGGGGAACCCCAATCCATCCTACTCCTACCACTTTGATGTCAATGGCAGCAACAGATGCCCAGAGCCTGGAGAGGGATTACAGGTCGGCAGGTGAGCATCTGAAGAGCAGCACAAGGGAATCCCAGCAGCTCCAGGCAGCAAGTTGGCTTCATCAGGGGCCCCAACTTAAATGCCTCTATGCAAACGCCCGTAGCATGAGGAACTGGACTTCAGGAGAGCAGACTTTGGCCTCTTCAGGGAGCTGCTTGGTAGAGTACCATAGGATAAAGCTCGGGATAGAAGAGGGCCCCAGGAAAGCTGGTTAATAGTCAAGGATCTTCTCCTGCAAGCTAAGGAGCAATGCATCCAAAGAGGAAATCGAGCAAAAACACCAGGAGGCCTGCACAGATGAACAAGGAGCTCCTGGACAAACTCAAACCCATAAAGTTTTAATTTTTCTTAAAAAAAAATAGCCTCTATGCAGGGAGAAACTTATATTCAGTAGCCATGGTTATATTCATAGTTGGGGAAAATAGAGTTTAATTTAGAAATGAAGGTTAAAAGCTAAATGTTATTTTTCTGGAGTTTTGTTTCTGGGTTTTTTTGTGGCTGATGGATTTCTCTTTCCTCAGTCTCGCCCTGTCCTTCCACTTCACTATTTTTCAGACTTTTCTATCTTGAATTCCAATTCTGGCAGCTTCTTTTGATATGATAAATAGGGAACAGGGAAGAGAGGTTTTACATTTTCCAATTTAAGCCCTTCATATGAAGCTTGGATGTTTAAGGAGGTTGCTTCATAACAAGTGTGAGGTTGTGTTCAATGAGCACATTCACTCCCGTGGTCAGTCCTGATGTTGGCAGTGCTTCCCTGAGGCAGAGCCCACTGAAGGACATTTCAAAATGGCAGTACCAAGTCAAGAAGCTTTCCAGTGCTGCTGGTTTTTATAATCTTTCTCCAAAGAAGGTGGAGGTCTCTCTCTGTGGATGTTACTGGATTATTTATTTGACTTCACAGCATCCATTCTAAAATAAAAGACAATGACCTAAACTATTTTATGATACGTTGCTAAACCTAAAAGGTGTTACAGAACAGAGATTTTTTTTTTTTTTTTGGAATGCAGGTGTTTTCTCACATCTTACAGTATCTATGCATGTTGGAGTGTATCTATAGCTAGATTGGACTACCTCATGAAATCTTTGTTTCACTACCAAAGCAGTAAATGTTTCCTGTTGTCATTTCCATTTAATATAGTGATAGATCCAGGTTTTTCACCTGTTTGCTTTGCAATATGTTGATTTTTAATTAAACCTTCTTGGTGATATTATCTAATCACCTAGGATCAAGGTAGGACCACAGTAGAAAACTGGGGATACCAAGAAAGTGCTGACTTGCATTTTATTCCTTTGTGTCATCAGGTGCCATTCCAAGCATTTTGGATCATGTAATATTTATGCTGAGTGAATCAGGAATTGCTGTTAACTTTGATCATAGGGAAAAACTAATTTTTTCTGATTTAACTCCAACTGTGCAATTATTGGGCAATGAAGTACCTATTACCTACCTTAATTACCTATCTTAAACATAAAAGTCTTTCATCTGCAGTTCTAAACTGTCGGCTGCTAAAGCTCTCTCAGCAACAGCTTCAGCCTCACAGATTTTATGGATGAAAATTCAGGCTGACTTGGTCAGATAATTATTGGCTCCTCTTACATATACCCAGATGAAATTCTCTGGCATGTCTGATGCTAGCGAAGTTGACTGAACTGTTTCTAAAGTTCATTAAACTATTTGTTATTCTCAGGTAAGCTAGTGGCATCATCTGCAAAAATGAGCTCTCCTTTTTTATAGCATGTATTTAAATCAAGTAAGATCTGACAAAGGTCACTGAAGAGTTGTTTCAAAGTCGTATTTCAAAACTGAAAGGAGAGAAGTGACTGTGAACTTCTAGGTAACATAAACATTGGACATAGAGCTAGCATACTGTCTGTAGTCTAAAATAAAGTATTTATGAGGTCTGTTAATCTATTTAGCCAAAAGGTGTAGGCAATTAGGACTTTCAGCCCTCAAGTAGTCACTCAGTGCGTCTAAGTGTTATGAATTGTTACAGAATCTCTTCTGTTGACGGTTTATTAAAGTTTTGTAATTTCTTTTAAAAAAAAAAACAACACACACTAATCCCTTGTCTTTAGTTGACAGGCTCAGTTTTAGAAGATGCCTGGAAAGAAAAAGGAAAGAATGATATGGAGGAAATGATTCAGAGAATTGAAAATGTTGTGTTAGATGCAAACTGTAGCAGGTGAGAAGATAAATTTATGTGCAGTGTTCTGTTTTGATATTAAACAGTACACCTTCAAAATCTTCAAGAAAAATGAACATGTCCAAAACACCGTCTTAAAAACTTCGATTTATGAAAAGTAAGGTGATGTTTGGGTCACTTCCTATGTGTTAAAAAAAAAAAAAAAGTATTTTCCAGTTGAGGGGGTTTTGGGGTTTTGGTTTTTTTTTTTTTCATGTTTGTATTTTATCTTTTAATAGAGATGCATGTTCTACTTTAATGATTTTTTTTTTTTTTAACCTTTTAGGTCTTGAGATATTCCATAAGAGCTTTAGGGTCTAAGAGCAAGTCTATATGAAAAGAGACAATAGTGGCGATACCTCATAGTTTATACTTTTAAATCTGATTTTAACAGTATTAAATATATATAAACAATAATAAATATATACAAATCACTATAAATGTAAAGGCAAAATGGAAATAAGCTTTGTGGGGCTTTTTTGGGTGTTGTTGTTTTTTGGTTTGGTTTTGGTTTGTTTTTCCTCCTGGATAGCATACCTTTTTGGCAGAGTTTTACTGCAGTCTGGAAAAAAATGAGTAGTTGGCTAATGTATTCTGCTTCTCAATTTGCAATCAACTGTGTGCATGAGGTGATCTGATTCTGTTGTACTGTAGCTTCTTGCAAACTTACTAAAAAGCAACCTATAGACGGCTGAGACACTCTGACTTGACCTCTTGCCATATGGAGGGAAGCCAACATGTAGCTCATAGCATCTGCAGGTTGTAAGTGAGCTCACCTGAGGAAAATTTTGCTTCAGGAAACAGAAAATTGGTAGTGCAAGCCGAGGCTTCAAAGACACAGAAACTCAAACTTACTTTAATAGGGGAAACAACTGATGTTGGTTGGTTATTTATTTATTCCTTAATGAGATGCTACTCTGTGGACTTGCTTAAAAGAAGAAAGCAATATCTCTTGTTTAGGGATGAAATGGATGGTGGTATCTCATGTATTGGAGACATTACTTCTCACTGTTGACTGCAAAATTTCAGTGTGATTAAGATGCTAAAGTTAGGAGCATAAATTAGGTGATTAAAATACAATTTGAAGATCATCCCCCTGCTTTTTCCAGTACTGTCCTTTTCTCAAAAAGGGATTTATTCATCAACTTGTGCTGCAGGTTTGGCATCTTGAGAAAAACTATAGCAGGAAGTGGAGAGGGTGAGTATCTCATAATTGACACACAAAGCATCTAGACTTGCAGGGGAAAAAAAAATTACCTCAGTTATTTGCAGATTGGACCAAATCTTGTCCTTTTTAGAGCTTTTGCAGGGGGATTTAACTAACTAGTATTTGTAAGAAAAGAGAAGCCAAATTTCTTGCTTAGCACAAAACAGTCTTAAGTTTTGTCGCGTTTCTCTTTATTTCAGAGATGTGAAACATACACTTCTGAAACTAGTAGAACTGCGATCAAGTAACTGGGGTAGAGTTCATGGAAATTCTTCACATACAGAAGCTACCCCTGAAAATGATCCAAACTATTTTATGGTAAGAATGTATGGACTCTTCAGTTCCTTAATTTAATGTGAATTTAAATTGATTCATAGATAATCGCATTGCTGAAAACTAAAAACAGCTGTCTCCCTGAATGCATATAACTTTCTGTATAACTTTATTCTTAGAATGAGCCAACATTTTACACTTCTGATGGTGTTCCTTTCACTGCAGCAGATCCAGGTACGTCACAAGCTTAGTATACCTGTGTTCTCAATCTTCTTTAAAAAGTTGTAATTAAGTTATGTCCCGTTGAAGTACATAAAAAGTTGTTCTCAAACGTTAGAAACTCGTACAACTTAAGATGAAAATATGTATGAATTCCTGGCTTTGTGTAAAAAGTGCCTTATTCTGCATTAAAAGAAGGTAAATGTTTGAAATGGAGAATAGGTATTTGAGTCATACAGTTCAAAATAATTTCTGCCATAGTCCTGAGCACTTGGTACTATTATCTAAACTACTTGGTCTCTCCAGGAAGCCAGAAATCTTCAAGTCTTGTTTTGTTTGTACGTTGTTAGTAGCAAAAGAGTTTGTTTCTTTCTTGGTTTCTTTGTTTTCTGTAATCTGAGCACAATGTGGCATGACATACTTGGAGGTAAAGACATTTCTGACTACCTTTACAGTTGTCTGGGACGACAGGTATCATTCTTAGAGGTCGGTTGATATCCTGAGAAAACACTACCAGGAGTTTTTCCTATACGTTTCATGCCATTTGTGGTTACATTAAATAGGCTATTTTCAAACTGTATAGATGTATGTTAATTTAGAGGACTACTGCTGTATATTACTCAGTCTCATTTTTACTTTGCCAGATTACCAAGAAAAATACCAAGAGCTGCTTGAAAGAGAGGATTTGTTTCCAGATTATGAAGAAAATGGAACAGATCTATCAGGACCGGGAGATCTGTATGTTTTCTTTTTGAGTGATAGGGTTTTTTTAATACCAGTTATCTTTAGTGCAGACTTAGTTTCATTTTTGTCAAGATTAGATTCCTAATACAACTATTATCTAGCTCTATAGTGGAAGTGGAAGTTATGTATTTGTTTGGATGTAAATTGGTTTGTAATCACATAAGTTTGAAAGAAATTTTATGTTTATCCAACTGAGTAGGGTAACTAAATTTCAGATATTTGTGAGCATGTACAAACATACTCTCTTCTGCATGGGGGGGGGGGGGGGGGTGGGGTGGGAATTGCAAGCAAAATGAAGTACCAGACCTTCAAGTGTTGGTAGTGAGGCAACCTGAATTCATTTGACTGGTGCACATATACATCCCAACTGGAGATGACTACAAAATTTTCAGGAGTCTTTCAAAGGAAAAAGGTGGTTAAGTTTCTCTCCTCAGGATAGGTAGTAGTCCCTCAACTAAATGGCTATTCAGTATTCCTGTAGAACAAGAAAAGCAACCTAGTGGCAAAGGGGGAAGCAATAGATGGGAACGTAGTCTGACTTTCTGACACCAGTTTGTAAGAATTTAATAGGAAACCAGTAAAAGAAATACAGTCTAGACTAAATTGCTCTGAGCTTTATACTTACCTGGTTGTAGGAGGATTTTCAGATCATGATTTGATACCTATGAACATTATCAGTGTTGTGTTCATGTGTGATAAGAGTGCTGGCCTGGACTGGTATTTTTGTTAGTCAATTAGAAAACTTTTAGATCGTGCCTAGCTGAGGGGAGTGGCAAGAACTTTGAAAGACAAATTAGAGATGTCATCAGAAATCAACAAGCTTATACTGAGGGGAAAAAAAGACCCATGTGAACTTCTGTGCTTAGAAGAACAAATGAAATGCAAAATGGAGACAGACAGCAGTTAAACACAGCAAATCCGAAAAGTAATGTGGAAGACAAGTCAACCTTCATGCAAGGTGACTGTGGAACCTTCTTTGTTGAAGGCTTAAGAAAAGCTTAGATAAATGTATGCTGATCCTCTTGTCAGCTGTTACTCATGACTGACGTCAGTGAGAAGGGTTCTGTGTTGAGTCCCTTCTCAAGTCTAAACTTCTACAAGAAAGATGGAACAAATAAAATAAATATGTAGACTGCTGCTTCATTGCACAATCCTGAAGAAAAAAATACTTTCCTTACACGTTTCTGTGGCACTGTGGTTTTGTGTGAACCACCATTTATGACCTCTGTGCCAATGAGATGTGCAGATTCCCTTGTTTGGAACTAAGGCACAAAAGATAATATACGTGAGCACCTGAAATTAATGCACTTTTTGAGAGTTAATAGCTGCTGGCTGTTCTGGGTTTTTTGAAGGCTGTTTAGAATTATATACACTATCATGTTCAAGCTGCAACTCCATTGTCCTAGTTTATGGTGATGAACACTCCAGTTGGATCTAGAGAAAACAAGGAACACTCAAGTTACTTCCCAGTAAATATGGGGAGAAAGAAAGCTGAAGTGATACCCATCACTTTCCAGCTTTATTTTGGTAGTCTCCACTCTGTGCAATACTTATCATTAACGGGATCGAGTCTTTTCTGTCACCTAAATGAGACCTATCTTTTCCAAAAGACTGGTTACCATATAATAGAAGGTAATATAATGCAGGTGCAATAGGGAGGTGAATTAAGGTTGCCTTCTTTCATATATCAACAAACAAGAATGCAGATTTTCCATATAAATATATTCTTTGACTAGCATGCAACATGTTGACCAAGCAAAAATTATGCTAATATGATACTAATTATGTTTTCTTGCAAATAGATCACTACAGATACATTATTAAATTTTGGGAAGCTTGGATTGCATTATTGCATTTTCCATCATCTCAGGAAGTATTTCTGTCTCTTAAACTGTGCTCAACATAAGATGATCTAAAATGGTGACAAACACTGTAGCTATTTGTACATATCTATGCTGCTTTGAGGTTTCTGTTTGTTTTCCTAGTACCTGTGATTTTTTTTTCCCTTGCTTCATCCCCTTTAAGAAAATATCATAGTTAACTGCTACTTATAAAGCTTTGTTTTATTCTTGACATCTACATAAATGTTTTTGAAAATCTGTACATAAACTTTGGTGATTTTTTTTTTTAGGTATTTTGATGACATTGATGATGAGATGGATCCGGAAATTGAAGAAGCATATGAAAAATTCTGTCTAGAATCAGAACATAAGAGAAAGCAGTGAGATGTTACACATTAATGTTAGTTTATTAAACCAGTTTAGGTATGGTTAGAATACAGGGGGACACAAAACATTTGTACCAAAATAAGGAACCTGAGTTTCTCCAACTACTAAAGTTATACGATTTCTGTTTTGTTTAACAGAATCTGCCAAAAATTGTAAACTTATGCCCTGTAAGTTAAGATGTTGTGTATATATCATAGTTTATTTTATGTACAGGTATATGAACAATGTTTTGGCTGCAATAAAAATTACTTTAAAATTATCATAATTGAAATTAAAATTTGATGGTGAACCATCCCATAAAATTTACTTTGAGGGAGAAAGGGGAAGAATAAATTGACCTAAATTTAATTGCTTGCTGGTATAGTATATATTGGGATTTACTCATCCTTTTTACCATATACAAGATATCTGGTATTTAATTTTTGTGTTGTTTTGCCAAGGAGAGTATGATCCAAATATCGGGGGTTTTTTTTCTGTAGAACACAATCATAGGAATTGGTTTGTGAAGGTTTTGTTTTGTTTATTTCCTTTTTCTTCCTCTTTCAAAATTCATATGGATGAGGTCTGGACTTTTTTTTCTGCAATAAAGATGTTACATGTTGATATGTGAAAAAGGAAGCAGTATTTTGGAAGTCGAGTGCTTTTAAGATCCTTGGTTCAGATAATCTTATTTTCAGTTTTCACAAGGAAAAACTATCTTTTAGTTTGTTGTGTTCTTCAAGACTGTATGAATATAGTTATGTTTTAACCTATGCTTCTCAAGAGATGTGCAGTGCTCAAGATACTTTTTTTTTTTAATGCATCTAACATGTCTAACCTTCAGGCAACTCTTGTAATTTTCTCTAATTTAAATTTTAATTTTTTCTTCTAATTTTATGTAGTTGATTTAATTTTGTAGTTGGAGTAAATTCATATATTTCATAAATGTTAACATTCTGAAGCCAACTGCTCTTTTTTGACCCCATATAATCATATTAGTTTTCCTAGGATATTCCATTGTTGTTGTTGCCAAACTCAGTTGTACTGTTTCCTGTTATCTGTTACTGGTTAGACTGAGGAGAACCCCTTACCAAAAGCAAGTGGAAATATTTTCCAAAATTTAGCTACTATAAAGAACACATGTTGTAAATATGCATGTAAATAATTCTGTTAATATTTCACTGTTATTTGTTTGGTTAAATAACTTGTGCATCTGCTAATAGAGTGAGCACTGACTGTTTTCTGGATGTTTATTTAACATACTTATTTAGGTTGGAGTTTTGGAAAATAAAATCTAACTAGCTTTGTTTCCTTTGGTATAATTTCACTATCTTGCCTTTTTGCTTTAAAAAAAAAAAATAATTATTTGTGGTCCTTCTTCTGCCTCCCTGTTGTGGTTTAACCCCAGACAGCAACTAAGCATCGTGCAGTTGCTTGCTCACTCCTCCCCCCTCCCAGTAGGATGGGAGGAGAATCGAAAAAAAAGTGAAACTTGTGGGTTGAGATAAGAACAGTTTAACTAAAATAAAATATAATATTAATGATAATGATAAAAAATAATAATTGTAATGAAAAGGAATATAACAATAAAACCCAAGGAAAGCAAGTGATACCCAATGCAGTTGATCACTACCTGCTGACCAATGCCCAGCCTCTCCCCAAGCAGTGATCCTCCCAGTTTATATACTGG